ATTACCCCCCAGGGGGGATGGTCATGCCGCAATCTCTTCTCCTCCATTCTCCTCTCGGGATCTTGGGCACGCACGCACATGCGCCTGGGGTGAGTTTTAAGCCACTGGGTCTGGGACGCAAACCGCGGTTGACTACGTGGGAGTCCAGTGACATAGCCATTACGGTAACTGCTGGTTCCCGATACTGTTTATCTTTTTTTTTTTTCTCCTTTTAAACTGCTTTATTAATGTTACAATATGTAATCAACATCTTTTCATGCAAGAGATAAAATTCCCCTGCTGAGACTTACAAACTGGGTCAAAAACATTATATTCAATTAGAAACTGGTAATGGGAGACCCACAAGATACAAGTAACACCAAAAGATTTACAACAAAGGTACATCTGGAATATGTAAGTTTAAGAAGCAGGGGGTCTCTTACTAAGGGAAGACAGCAGGATTCAGGGCATAAGGCAAAACTCATCATGATGGCCATGGTGAGGAGGGTCAAGACTAACTGCCGCAGACTATGACTCAACTGCTTTTCCCTCAGCTTTTCCATCAGATGTCTCACTTCCTCCCCAAACCTCTCCATATTCTCTTTTCTCATCCTTGCCTGTGGCACTCCCAGCCTTTGCAAGGTATCCCATCTATACTGCAGAACTAGGGTGACAGAGGGAGGAGACTGGGGGCTGGGGGGTCTCAGCCGGGGCTTTCCTCACGTCCCTCCCTTTCCTTCCCCTCCCCTCCCCACGCCCCCCAGCAGCGTCCCTCACACCGACCTGGGCCTAGCCTTGCAGTCTCCTCCTGATCCTCGCCCTGAGGGGTGCTGCCAGGACACTTGGCCTCTCGGACCTCCCCCCTCTTCCCCCGCCACCTCCTACTTCTCAGGGCTGTTCCCGGCCTGGTCGCCATCCGTCGGGGCCACCGGGAGCAGGTACCTCCGAGAAGGCAGCTAGCAACCGCTGCCGCGTCTGACGCCAGAGCGAGGCCCCGATACTGTTTATCTTGATACTGATTGTCCTAAAATTAGGCTCTGATCTTGTTTTTCAGTGCTCAGAATGGCTCACCACTCTTTCTAGAAAAAGTTGTAATTTTTTTTTCTTTTTTTTTTTTTCCTAGGTTTTTTGTCAGAGGGCTTGCGTGCTTGCTGGAGACAGTGAGAGGGAAAGTCAGAAATCATCCCCAGAGGGATAACCATGTCACAATTCCTTCCTTCTCTTCCATTTTTCTCCTGGAATTTTGGGCACATATGCACATGTGCCTGGCATGAGTTTCAGACCACCAGGTCTGGGACTCAAACTGTGTTTGATCTTGTGGGAGTCCAGCGCCTTAACCACCGTGAAACTTGCTGACCCCAAAAGTTCTAACTTCTTAGACCTTTACAGTTTGGCTCTTGTACTCCTTACTAGTCTTTTTCCTCATCACATTTCTGTTACTAACTTTTATTTATTTATTTGAGAGGTTTTTGCCTTAGGGCATGGGTACTTGCCTGAGATGCAGAGAGACTGCGACAATCAGAGGGAAAGTGAGAAATCACCCTATAAGGGGGATGGCCATACCGCAGGCTCTTCTCCTTCATTCTTCTCCCAGGATCTTGGGCACACACACACATGCACCTGGTATGAGTCTCAAGCTACTGGGTCTGAGACTCGAACCACAGGCAGCCACATAGGAGTCCAGCAACATAATCACTATACCATCTGCTGGCCCTCTAACTTTTTATTTATTTATTTTATAATAGTTATTTTATTTAACTTTATTTGTTATTATTTTCCAGTTCGATCAGAGAGACAGAAAACGGGAGAGAGGGACAGTAAGAAAGTAAGCTACCGGTCTGGGACTTGAACTGAGGTTGGCCTTGTGGGAGTCTAGTGCCTTTAACCACCATGCCACCTGCTGGCCCCACTTTTTATTTTTAATAGTTAATCTTGTAGCTTGGATATGACTAATAGCAGGTTGAAATCTGGCTCTGTTACTCATTGTATGGACTTGGGCAAGTTACTGTAATTTGAAGAGGAGCAACCCGTAGCTTCCAGCAGCTGTCTGAATACTACTACCAGGTGGGTCCTGGTGTTGGTATGAGTCAGCCTGGCACTTAACAGCTAGATCATCTTGGTGTCCTTATGTTGAACACAAATAATTTCATACATCAACATCAGACAAGAACTTTCTGTGACCATGACAAATCAAGACAAAAGCAAGACCATGCCATAATCACATCTGAATACAGATGAAACATGAACATCATCCAAACCACAAAATATCAGTCATCCCCCCTGTCTAGGCTAATGTGAGTGATTGCTGCTGTCTTAGAGCCTGCACTTAACAGAGAGTTATTGTTATACCCAATCATGAAATGATCTCTGCTTTCGGACAGTACTCAAGTTATAATAACCTCTCCTTTCTAGTCCTTACCTCAAAAGCCACTTAACTAAATTCCCATTTCTCATGTCTTCAGTTTCCCATGATAATGTGTTCCTAATGAAACAACCTGTTCAACTGCAGGTGTGATCCTGGTAAGTAGGTGGAGGGTGTTGACAGTTTTCTCACATGAAAACAGGGGGTAATAACATCTTCTTTGCAGAGTTTTTCTGAAGATTATATTGTTAAAAGAACATAGAGCACTGAACAGGGTCCTCACATAGTAGATACTCGGCAAGAGTTTGTTTCTTGTTCTCTAGTAAAGTAGTCTGATTCAGTCTTGGTGTCCTGGACAAGGCTTACCTGTCCTTCTTTTAACCCTTTCTCTCACGTACAGTGCTCTGTTCTCATCCTTTAAGTCTTTTTCCAAGATGCCTTTTCTGTGAAAGCTTTTAAATCTGATACCAATCTGTTCTGTCTCTGAACTTAACGTATTTGTTTTTGCCCTTGATGTGGTTCTTAATCATACTCTGTGTTTGCGGCATCTTTGTAGCTAATCTCTTGCCATTTAATTCTCAATTTTGACATATCTCTGCCTTACTCAGCTAAATTGTGTTTTAAAGGGGAGGGGCTATATTTAAAGGAGCCTTTGAAACCAACCAGTTACTTCATAGGGACTAATTTCTTCAACTTTGCTATAGTACTTGTATTCAGAAACCTAGGTCTTGTCTCTGTTATGAATTGCTTAAACATGATTAAAGTAAAACAAAAGAAAGTGTAATCAGTTTTCACCTTCCCTGAATATGGTGGTATTGTGAACTTATTTAAACTGGATGTTTTAGTTCAAAGCTGTTTACATATTTTTTTCCTAGACAACACAATGATGGGTGAAGAGGAGATATCTCTGAGAAAGCGCCTATCAAAGTCCAGTGAAAATGTCGAGGAAGAGGAAGACCAGAGAAACCCTGCAAAGGAGTCCCTAGAGACACTTAGAAATGGTAAGCCTTTTAATTTTTTTGAGGTCAATTGTTGAAATAGAGAATAAATTCCATTTTCTTGCACAGGGATTGCTGTGTCTTTAGTTCTCTTTAATGTAAATACTTATTGACGACATAACCTAGTTTAGTACCAAGGTGTAAATCTTGAGAGAGGACAAAATTAGGGAATTTTCTTAGTTCTTATATTCAAGTTTGCTTAATACATAAAGACAGAAAAGAATATGACACAGTGCTTGTTGTCAGAGTCAAGGTTTATGAGTAGGAATGATAGACTTGTAAATGCATCTCTTAACTGATGTCATCTCTTGCATCAGGGTATTTATTTTTGCAGTGACATTTGTATAGGTTTGACTACAGCAGGGATTTGAAATTTGACGCATGTTTGATTAACAAATAGGGGTGGAACTTTCTGAGACAGGCTGTCTTTGTCTTCCTGAGACTTCCTGCATAAAGAAACGTTCTTTTTATTTTTCCTACTTTTTTTTTTTTTTTTTTTTTTAAAAAAAAGACAAGGTCTTGCCATGCTGCCATCCTCCTGCCTTAGCCTCCCAGCTGGAACTCTAGGTGCATTCCACCTTGCCCGGCTCTTTTTCAGAGAGGATCTTGCTGTGATGTTCAGGCCGGCCTCGAGTTCACAATCCCTCTGTCTCAGATGTGCTAATAGGCACAGGCCACCGCTCTGGCCTTTAAGTTGGATCAGGTATTAAATCTGGGCCTGTGTGGTCCTAGCCTGTGAAGCACAGTGTGTTAGCAGAGCATGTTGCCGCAGCTGGGCCTCTACTTAAATTTAATCATTATTATTATCTGGAGACCACTAGGAATGAAATGTTGCTACTTAAGTTGACACAGTGAAATTTATTGACTGTCAGACTCTTAATTAGATATTTATGATACGTTTATATTATCAGGTCATCGGAAAAGTCATGATGCATTTTTGCATAGAAACCCAGAAAAATATGTCATGACTTTTCGAGCAGCCCAGTATGTATGGACTAGGCTTTTCCCTAAAGGTAGGTCATACTGACTGGCCTTGTATGAGAGAGAGAGAGGAGAGAAAAAGGGAAAAATGTGCCCTTGACAAGGTCTTGTCATGGTATGATTCTTTTTCTCCAACTCTCTAGCTTGTTAGGATCCTGGCAAAGTGAGCAGACACATTAAATATATATTCCATAATTGAGAATGACAGAGAGACATGCATCCCCACCAGGGGCTTCATGCTGCAATCTTCCTTCAGTCTCAGCCAGCCCTGATCACAGGCACATGCGTGACCAGCGTGTGCAGGGAGGTCTTGGGACTCCAAGCCAGGGCCTTTCCCATATGGACCCACTTGCATTACTGGTATACTACTGCCTGGCCCCCAGGCTATTGTTACTGTGAGGTAAAATGGGAGAAACCTTCTCCTTCCATGATTTGGAGACTTAGTGATAACCTAGGTCTTGTCTCTGGTCTGAATTCCCATACAGTAGAATATTCATTTGGTTTTCTTTTTCTTCCGGTTCTTGGAGATAGAAAAATAATTTTTATTGAAATGCTCTGTCACCAAATATAATATTGGGTCATCAGAAAAGTCCTGATGTATTTTTCTATGCAAAAATGTGTCATGACTTTTCTGGTGACCCAGTAGTTCTCTTTGTGTCCCAATTTAAAAAAGTTTCATTTACCTTAATTTCCACATATTTGCAATATCTGTATTTTCTTAGTAGACTGAATTCTTTCTTTTTTTTTTGAGAGATTTTCTCTATAGGGCTTAGTTCACTGAATTTTTTTTTTTTTTTTTTTTGAGAGGTTTTTGCTATAGGGTGCATGCGCTCGCCAGACAGACAGAGAGAGACAGAGAGATAGAAAGCGAGAAATCACCCCCCACAGGGAATGGCCACGCCGCAATCCCTTCTCCATTCTCCTCTCAGGATCTTGGGCACGCACGCACACGCGCCCGGCGTGAGTTTAAGCCACCGGGTCCGGGATGCGAACCGCGGTCTACTACGTGGGAGTCCAGTGACATAGCCATTACGCTAACTGCTGGTCCCAGTTCACTGAATTTTAAAGAGAGATTTTTGCTATAAGGTGCATGAACTCGCCAGAGAGACAAAAAGCGAAAAATCGCCCCCTGGGGTAGAGGTTGGTCAGACCACAATCCCTTCTCCTCCATTCTCCTCTTGGGATTTTGGGCACGCACGCACATACTCCCAGCATGAGTTTTAAACCACTGGGTCAGGGATGTGAACCGCAGTTGACTACAGGAGTCCAGTGATGTAATCATTCCACCATCTGCTGCTCTCCACTTCATTGTTTTTTGTGTTTTAATGCAGATATTAAAAATTGAATTTTTAGCTTAAATCAAAAAGTATGATAACCTCCTTGCTTTAAGTAATGATTGGAAAATAAAGTGTGTTTCTCCACTTGAAGGTCGATTCACCTTGGGAGTAAGCAGAGGGGTAAACTGTGGCCTTTGAATAACAAGGGGATTGAAGGATGTTATTGTGACCTACCAACCAGGAACACCCAGAAGCTTGTTAGAAATGCCTCACCTCATATTTATTGAATATAAATTTCATTTTAATAAGATCTTCAGGTGTAGCAAAGGCAGGTTAAAGTTCAAGACAGTGTCATTAGTGTGGCTAAGTTGGGATATGCTTGAGATTCATCTGTGGATGAAAAGTAATTCAACAGACAAAACAGCTTCTTAGATCCTATTGTGGATCTACTAAACCAGAATCTCTAGGGAGGGCCCAAGAGTATTAAGTTTGAAAAAGTTTGCTGGGCAGTACTGATTGGCATTGGTGGTTGAAAACCATTGCTATCAAGAGCTTTGAGACTCAATTGTTTAGTAATTTATGGGTAGGATGACCTTATGTCCGAGTATGCTGCTTTTCTATAATAAAATGTGTTTTCCCTCAGAGATTTTTGCTATTGGACATGTGTGCTTGTTGGAGAGACAGAGAGAGACAAAGTAAGAAATCATCCTCCCAGGGGGATGACCACACTGCAATCCCATCTCCTTCTTTCTCCTCTTAGGATTTTGGGTATGCAAGCACACATACACACTCCCAGCATGAGTTTTAAGCCACTGGTCTGGGACTCGAACCGCAGTCAACTACGTGGAAGTCCAGCAATGTAATCATGGCACCATCTGCTGGTCCTGGTTCTTCATTCTTTTTTTTTTTAATTGATGAACAGTATTCATTTTATGTATGTGCCACATTTTGGGATAATAACCTTCTCTGACTTGATGTTCTTCTTCTGGACAAACTGTGGCAAGGATTGGGCCACTGAACACAGCCCACGGGGCAGGTGATAGGTGGCATTTATGAGGTGGAGTTGCTTGCCTGGGACTCTCCCAGGCTGGGGTTGTACAAAGGTGGCTATACCAGTATGGGGTCACTGGGTGGACCTGCTTTTACAACTTCAGTAGGCATGGCTCCAGTGGGGGCTGCGTGTGGTGGCCCTGCCCTCTCGTGGCAGTTCTCTGCCTGGCTCAGGGCTTTGCAGGACTTCTTTTGCAATCTAGGTGGAGGCACCCTTGCCCCACGGCTCATGCTCTCTGTGTACCCACATGGATGAAACTACGTGGATCATGGTTTACTGGCTGTGTGCTCTGGAAGGGTGACCAGTGTGGTCTACACTGGCCCTGTGCCTACTGGAAACACACCTGGGGCCACAGAGGATCATTGTGCAAAAATGCCAAGAGTGGAGACTTGAGGCAGTTCAAAGGTAGTGATTCTAGAGGTCCTGTAGGTGCTAAAGGCTCCTCTCTTGATATAGCTGGTCTTGTGGTGGCAGTGAGTACTTGTGTTGTCTTGATGAATAGTACCACCTGACTTCTGCTGACCCATACTGATCTCCTTATCAAAGGAATGCTAGGTCATACCCTTAGTACCCTCTTCAGAACATGCCTTTTCATTCTTTATACTATGGCTGGGCTGAAAACTTTCTGGATTTTTAAAGTTCTACTTCTCTTGGATTATGAATTTCACCTTTAAATTATTTCTCTGGGGCCAGCCCATGGCATGGTGGTTAAGGAAGTTGGATTCCTGTGTAGTTTAAGTCCTGGACCTGGTGGTTTGAGAGAAATACAATTGGTATGTGTGCATGCATGCCCTGAGTCCCAAAAAGATGGAAGAGTGGAGGAGAAGGGATTGCTGCGTGACTGTGGCCCATGTGGGGTGCTTTCTCCTTTTGTCTCTGTCTCTTGAGCACACATACCCTCTTGTCTTTTTTTTTTTTTTTTTTTTTTTTTTTTAAGAAATTCTTATTTATTTTAGTGGGTTTTTTGGGTTTGTTTCTGCAAAAGGGCACAAGTACTCACTGGAGAGAGATTAAGAGAGAGAGAGAGAGAGACAGTAGGAAGGTGAGATATCACCTCTTCAGGAGAATGATCACTTTGAAATCCCTTCTCCTCTATTCTCTTGGGAATTTAGGCATGCACACACATACACATGCCTGGCATGTTCTGGAGAGGTTTTTTTTTTTTTTTTCCGCTATAGGGCGCGTGCGCTCGCCAGACAGACAGAGAGAGACATAGAGACAGAAAGCGAGAAATCACCCCCCAGGGGGGATGGTCACGCCGCAATCCCTTCTCCTCCATTCTCCTCTCAGGATCTTGGGCACGTACGCACATGCGCCCGGCGTGAGTTTTAAGCCACCGGGTCCGGGACACGAACCGCGGTCGACTACGTGGGAGTCCAGCGACATAGCCATTACGCTAACTGCTGGTTCCCTGCCTGGCATGTTCTTTAAGTCACCGGGATTGAGACTTGAACTGCACAGTCAGCCATGTGGGATCTAGCTGCTTTAATCTCTGAGCCATCTGCCGGCCCCTTGTCTTACATTTTAATATAAGTATTCAAGGGACCAGCAGGTGATATAGTGGTTAAGGCTCTGGACTCTCACTTGTTCAACTCCGGTTTGAGTCCCGGACCTGGTGGCTTGAAATTCACTCCACATGCATGGGCTTGTGTGCTCAGAATTCTGAGAGAAAAATGGAGGAGAAGAGAGGGGAA